CGGCGATAGGTAAGATGGTCCGAACCGTGGTCATTTTGGCAACAGGAGCAAAGGTTTCCTCATAATCAACCCCATATTCCTGCTTATTACCCAGAGCTACAAGACGAGCTTTGTACCGGTCCAAAGAGCCATCAGAAGGAAGTTTAACAGAAAAAACCCATTTATTCCCAATAGGTGTGATAGTAGGAGGACAAGGAACAATATCCCAAGTGTGATTCTCCTTAAGTGCTTTTAAGTTCTGCTTGCATTGCAATTTGCCAACACTCATGTGCCATGGCCTGTTTGTAGCAAGAAGGAATGGAAATAGTGGATAAAGTATCGACAAGAGAGACAGGAGAGAAGAAACCATACCAATCTGGGGGTCGAGAAGGACGAGCAGACTGACGAAGAGTGGTGGAAGTAGGAACTGGCACAGGATCAGGCGCTGGGTCAAGATCGGAAGGGGGCACAGAGGAAGTGGAATTAGACTCATGTTGACGACGTCTTTCATACACAAAACCAGGTTTAAATCTTTCCACAATTGTTGGGGAATCACAATTGTTTGACAGCTCAACATGAGATGGAAAGAAATATTGATTTTCAAAGAAAACCGCATTCCTAGAAATCCGTATACAACGAGCAAGGGGATCATAACAAACATAACCATTTTGAGAGATAGCATAACCAAGAAAAACACACTTAACCGACTGAGCAGTAAGTTTATGTCGTTCATGAGTAGGAAGATGCACAAAACAAACACAACCAAATGTACGAATATCAGAATATAAAGGAGAATGACAAAACAACTTAAAGAAAGGAGAAGCATGATTTAACGTAGGAGAAGGTAAGCAATTGATCACATGAACTGCAGTGGAAAGTGTCACACCAAAAACGAGGAGGAACAGATGAGTCAAGTAAAGGAGTTCTTACCACATCAAGAAGATGGCGATTTTTCCTCTCAGCAACACCGTTTTGCTGTGGTGTCGAAGGACATGAACGTTGTGACAAAATCGTTTTGCTCTGAAGAAAGTCCTGAAACTCATTACACATGTATTCGCTGCCAGAATCAGAGCGCAAGACCTTGATATTGGCAGAGAATTGAGTCTCAAGAAGTGCAAGAAAGCGCTTAAAGACTTAAAAAACTTCAGCCTTAGCCCGGAGAAAGTAAACCC